AAGCGATTACCACAAAATTTGTAGAACAGTGTTATCGATATATTTGATGCTAGCCTTCAATTTCTCGTCATCCATTGTCCATAACAGAACAAAATTTAGAACGCATTGACTAGTTGAACCTTCAAAACCAGCTTACCCTTATGTAGTTATCAATTAGTTATCGACACTGCTTTTTTTCGATTAGGAAAAGTTAATTTTAAAATATCGAAGAAAATGCGGGACAAAGGCAGGACACTTGGAAAAAATCAGTACATTTTGGGGGTTTTCTGTTTTGAAAAACTACGCAGGACAGACCTTTAAATAACAGTACGGTCCTGCAAAAAACAGAACGGATGGTCACCGTACCTATACGCCATATCGTACATGACCGTACTCATACACGGCGTATGAGTAACATTTCTCATGTTAGAGTTTGGATTTTTTTTCATTCGCAATGCAAACTTAAAATATATTGAGGAAATGGCCTTATCTGAAAAAAACGTATACAGATCCGTAATCTACTACCCAAAATTAATTTTACGTGTCTCCTGTGTAATTTTAAAGGTTAAACAGACGTCAGCGTTGATCCCGATTAACTCGTACTTAATCCGGATCAACTGCAGTTAATTCCCGAGTTGACCCGGATCAACACTGCCGTCTGTTTATGCTTTTAGTGTCCTTACGGTGTTATCATAAAATTTCATAGCGGCCATAACAATGCAATTGGTTTATAAAAGTCTTATGTTGGATCTTTAGTCCCACAGGACTCGTTGTTGTTGGTGTTGTTGTTGTAGCGGCTACTAAGACCCCTTCGGGTCGGTTCATCCGTCAACGTGGTCGTCAATTTCAGCTAGGGAGAGGCTCAGGAAGTGTGCGACTTCCACAGGGGCTGTCCATAGAGACAGGGGCGGCAGCTGAGTGGGGTTCTCAGGGCATGTGAAGAGGTGCCGGGAGTAATGTGGCGACTCTCCACATGCCGGGCATTGGTGGGGCAGATCCTCATTTATTCTACTCAAGTAAGAGTTTAGTCTGATGCAATAGCCAGGGCGAAGTTGGGCTATTGTAGTGCGGGTCTCCCGGGCTCGTAATTCCAGCGGACTCTATCCGTTTTTAACGCAGGATAACAGTAAGAGTACTTAAAAGGCCCCAGAAGTATTAAGCGTGCCACAATATACACAATTAAGTCAGTACATTTTTAAAGATATGCAGGGATTAGTCCAAGAGAATAGCAGTGCCCGAAGCTGCAACAGTGCGGACTGTTCGGTAGGGTCAAATAACACCATACGCAATAAGGCCATATGGTATTATTTCCATTTTGTTTTGGAAATAAAACCATCTGACGCCATATCCCATCAAGAAGTGAAATAAACTCATATTCAAAATTGTACAAATAAGTAATAGTCGTAATTGAAATTAAAACCGCTTCAACTAAAAATGCATGTTTGGCCACACTATTTGTGGATCACGTTTTCCCTTTTAATTGACCATTGGCGAATTTCTTTATTGTTCAGTCCGGATGTAGAAGAGAATAGTCATGTAGTTTATCAGAAACAATGGCTATAGAAGAGAATGAAATTATTAGGTATTAGCTTATTAATATTTACTTAAATTTTTTCGCAGAACAATTACTTGGTTTCTCTAGCGCCATTATTTCTATGTAATATTCTATGAATTTGTGAGTTGTATACTGTTTGTGTTTAAAAAATGTCAACTAAGCAAAAAAGTCATCGCAAAAAACAGCCATCTCAAAAAAAGCGTTATGAAATTTTAGAGGCAGTAGCGAGCGAATATGAAGAAGCAAACCAGAAGCTCTCCATAAACCAGAATGTGCTTGTACAAATAAATTTAGTCCGTTATTTCCTAAAAACTCTACGTTTATTATTATAATTTTTTAAATTTTGAAAACCACTTAGAGAAGTTAATAGTTCGAAAAATGTATTACATTTGGGACATTTCGGTTAGCTTTTTCAAGACTCTACTGTATTTCAAAAGTTTTCTATAGAAAATACATTCCGAACATTATTTACAATGTTAACTCCTGGCGGCCCACAGTGTATTATTTCCATATTCTAGAAAATATTAATTAAATTATTTTACACCGCCAAATTTCAAAACAACGTCAAAAATTTTTTAGAAATGCCTGATAAAGACGAAACAATAACAACTACAAAATTTAAATGAAAGTGTAGGGCGGTACGTGATTTGATTTGGAAGATTACCAAGCGCAATAATATTTAAACATGTATATTTGAAACTGAATCTCAATGTCAACAACTTATGTTGGTGTTGTGTGATTTATGCAACAATTGCTAAAATACCATTTTGGTCTTATTTTTATATGTTCTTTTTAATGAATATACATTTTTGGGATTTTAGTAAACTAGGACTGAGTATTTCATGTTAAAGTGAAACGATGTTAACTTAAATCTAATTTCGGCAATTTATTAATTTCATTACACCCGCAAACTCGTTATCCGCGATTATTCGATAAATTTGTATCTCACTTTATTTTCCACTCCTCTTAAACTTTAAACAACAAAACTTTAGCTGCTGGAAAGTGCTGGTTTTAATGCAATATTCTATTTTCAAGCCTTCTAGGAATTTTATTTTCTTCGAGTAATTCATTTGCATTTGATCTCGACGCAGACAAATCTTTGTATTTTCACTTTTGAATAGAGAAAGCTTGATTCCTTACCTTTCCAATGGTACCCCATTTTTGTAAATAAAGCGAGAAATATTGATCTTATAACGGAATTTTGTTGACCCAACTTGACTTTTTTATCGATACTTACAGTTCTATAATAGGGCGGCGTGACAGTACCTTTAAATGACCAATTTTTTTGTAAAAAGCTGCGCCTATCTTATAACGTACCTTGTGAAAATTTTCATTAATCTATTTTTAATTGTTTTCGAATTACATTATTAAAAGCAGCTAGATGGGTCAAATCTTATTGTGGCCTAGGGTGGTCCAAAAACAGTAAAGTCGGAATTGTAATGCTCTCGCCCCCTAGGATTGTTTTATATCGAAAAAAGTATACCCCTATTTTTTAATTTGAAATCAAAAAATATATAGAGGTCGCTCAAAGTTTTCCATGTATTTTTATATGGGAAAAAAACTTTTTCGTAGAAATGGTATAGAATTCTTGAAAGTCAATATTTTTCGATCGGAAAACTCTGGTTCTCTTCAGGAGACTTTCAATAATAATGCCCAATTCTTTATTTAACCATTTTTTAATACCAACGATTTTTTATTGGTCGCCCCATTGCATTTTTCGGGGTTTTTGTGGGTTTTTGGCGGACTGATAAATAACACTACCCACAGTGTTATGTCCGCGCCGAAGTTAAGTTTTCTGGTTCCTTGTTCCATATTGAATAAGCTTTTTTGTTCGGTTTTGTTAAAATTTATACATATATATGTATGTAAGTATGATACTGAATTATTTCAATTGATACAAATTATTACTAATAAAATTATATAAATAATTATTTGATATTTCCGGATTTATTGGATATTGGAAAATAAATATGGTTTTCGATGCCTTAGATGTTCACCCGTATGCTGTAATCCGAAAGTTCGTAGTTACGAATTCGTAGCTCCGATCCGAAAATTCGAAAGTTGGTATGCTGTTATCCGATCGTAATAGTGAAATTCGAAGTTCTTAATCAGCTGCTTTGACAGAAACAAATCAAAATAAATAAAACCGCAAGTGAATAATAATAATAATAATAGATAACAGATTGGCGCTTACACATATGTTAGTGTTTGGCCGAGCTTCTCCTCCGATTTGTGGCGTGCGCCTTGATGTTGTCACACAAAGGGGAGGGACCTACAGTTTTACGCCGACTCCGAACGGCGATTGTATTTTCATGAGAAGCTGTTTTTCATGGCAGAAATACACTCGGAGGTTTGCCATTGCCGCTGTTAAGAAAAAACATCGCAAGTGAATAGTGGAATTAAAAAAAAAATTGTTTAATCATTATTTGAAAAGACTTTTCCTTAATTAAGTAGAATACAAAGGATTCAGTTGCCGGTGCACTTTTGTCCCAAGATGAAAAACAGCTAACATTGGCATTAATATACAAAGGAGATTGCTAGGAGATTGTTCTGATCCAGTTAGCTTAAATGATAAAATGTAAGCTCCCCCCTTTTTAGGGCCTCCATTTCCCTAAATATTGTGCCGCTTTAATTCTTAGAACGCTTTCCCAAAATTCCACTACATCCTCTTTAGCTTCTTTTACAAAGCCTTTCCTCATGCATTCCACCAGTTTTTCGTATTGCGATCGATTTGTTGTGATCTTCGATCCGTTAATTTTGTAAACATTTAATAATAATTTTTTTTTTATTCACACTTCTACTTACATACATATTTTTGCGTTTACACACTTTATTTTATTGATATTTTAAAACAATTTGTTTCGTTCCGACACGAGTTGCTATTCGTACAAAATTTCAGACAAATACATAAAAATGACAGCTACGTCGGATTCAGGCATACCAACATTACGAATTTCGAAGATGGACTACGAATTTCGAAATTACGATACGACAACGCGGATTTCAGCATACCAATTTTACGGTTCGTAGAAAAATCGAAACTACGACGGATTACAGCACAGGGGTGGTTGATTTCATGCAACCTAGTGCCACTTCAATCAACTACCTATGTCAATGTTTTTCCCAGCTTCACTAATAGCTTATTGCTCGTTTGCTAAATTTTAATTATATGTTAGTTTTACTTTAACGCTAATTTCTATATAGTTTTAGATTTATACGTAGTCCGTAAGAATATTTGTACCCAAAGACTTGAAATAAATATATATACATATGTACATAACTGTCAGGTCTGAGCGCCTAGAAAATGCGAGTGTTGAATTCATTTACAAAGTATAGCGCGGGGTGGGTGGTGGTACTAAACAAATCATTTTATTCAGTGCCGAAGCGAAAATAAAATATAATAAAGCGAAATAAAATAAAACGCGGGGCAGGTGGTGATACTAAACAAATAGAGACATTCATATACCTTGCTGCTGCTTATTTTCAAGTATACTATTGTTGGTGCCAATGAGGTCTTGGCAAGTTGTGATGGATGGTTGATAGTGTCGCAGTCCAACACGACTAATTGCAGAGTTCTGGCAAGTTCAAATATACGTTCAATTTCTTCTTGAACTTTTGTGAGGCAATCTGATCGACTACTCGATCGCTCCATTATCGCGCGCTTCGTGGGATTATTCATAATAGATCTTTTAGCTAAAGAAATATCAGCCATAACCCTCGTTATTATAATTCTTCCTTCAAAGCGATGTTTTAAAAAATCAAAAAGAGCTTTCTGCATCATATCCGTTACTTCATATCCTTTAAGACTTGGACCAACTAAAACCACAGGGCGCATTGATGGCACCACATCGTACGGTGATGCAGTTTCTTGCTTTTTGAAGAAAGGTTTTCGTTTGTCTTTGTTTAATGAGTTAGCAGCTGGTGTTTTTCCTTGACGACTTGCTCCTAAGGTATCGGATTCATCGCCTGGAATAAATAAGAAGGTAGTGTATGAATAAAACAACCTAAAAAGTAGTATATATTTTATTATGTTTTAGTAGTATTATTTATCTTTTCTTACTTCCAGAGACCATAACGATTATAAGAAATAAAATTAAATGTTGCTGTATATGTAATCAAATAAAACACCTCTTTGAGGTAAAATTTTCGAGTGACGAAAGCTGAACTAGTTAGAAACACAAAATTTATTATATCAATTTCGTGACGAAAATTATACGCATTTTTTAACTGCCTTTGAAACGTACGGAAAATCTTTTTTTATTCATACGAATCGTTGCAAAAGTCCTGCTTTTTATTTTGGATTTCTGGCAGTAGACGGAATTTCGCAATTATTTTGGGGTAGCAAATTTAAAATCGACGAAAATACAAACAATAATCTAAATGTTTTATTTCTCTCAAATAAATTGCTAAAGCTATTATCTAAATATAAATTATGTATTGAAATCTATATATCCATTGAAACATAATTTTTCGAATACGGAATAAAGCGAAAAAGAATGATCGTATATTGGTGTTGGTTGATTTTTCCGACAGGGTGGTAAGATGATTTATTTTGGAACGAATTTCCGTCATCCCTTGTCAAGTTTGGTTTGCAGACAAACCGGTTTCGGCATTGTGCCATCTTCAGTGTCATTTTTCGTTCTGTCTGGTTCGAGTTTTTGTCCTTAATTTATGTTTATTTATCTTAGGTAATGTGATTTTCGTCGATGATTAATTATTAGAAATGCCATGGTGTCCTTTTTTATTTCAGAAGCAGGTAATATTTAGGTTGGTAGGTTCGCTGTCTCGATATTAACATCCGTTATGTTGTCTTTGTATGGTTTTTACCTGCAGGTAGGTAAAAGTCGGTGATTTTTGTCCTGGTGGTACTTTGTGGTGTCCATGCCTGTTGTTTTGTTGTCATTTTTCTTTTTCGCGTAAATTAATTGTAAGGGTTCGAATATAACATCCGATGCGGTATTTGTTTGTTCGTTTATTATTTTGCCGTCGAATGTTTTTAGTTCGTATATTTCCATATTGTCTAGTACGTTTAGTCGTTGGCCTTTATGTTGTACATGCAGTAGTTTCGCTGACTTTCTTATTTGCGTTGGTGAACATTTGTTGTTAAACATGTGGTTAGCAAAATTTGACTCTGGTATTGCACTCGGTTTCTGTGTCTTTTTGTTATAGTCACTTATATGTTCGCGAAATCTTGTTTTTATTTTCCGTCCTGTTTGACCTATATAACTATGCTGGCATTTGCAAGTTAGTTTATACACTCCTTTTTTACCCAATGGGTCTTCTCGATTTGTGGTGTTCCGTAGTATCCGTCCTGCGTTGTTATTTATTCTGAATGATGTGCGAAGGTTGTGTTTCTGGAACAGCTTTGCTAGTTTGTACGTTGACTTTCCAGTATAGGTTAATACCGCCCAATTTGTGTCATTATTTTTTTCTTTGTTTGGCTTTCTGTTTTTGTGCTCCCTTCGGATTTCCTCTACCAGATCTCTCTTGTATCCGTTATTAGCCGCTATGGCATATATTGCGTTCAGTTCGTTTTTGTATCCTTCTTTTGTTAGTGGTATTTGCTTAATTCTATTGATCATTTGTCTAAAGGCGGCTTTTTTATGCTGATGAGGGTGGTTGGATGTATTATGTATTATTGTATCTGTGGCTGTGGGCTTCCTAAAAATTTCATATTGCAGACTACTGGTGTTTTTATTTACTTTGATCGTCAGATCTAAGTAATTTAGCTTTCCTTCCATTTCTTGTTCCATTGAGAACTTTATGTTGCTGTGCTGTTTGTTGAGGTATTCCAATATCTGTTCTTCATTTTCCTTTGCTATAAGACATATGATCTCATCAACGTATCTGGCGTAGAACGTCGGTCCTAGTTGTGGCGTAAGACACTCCATGTACCTTTCTTCCAAATTCTGCATGAATACCTCCATAAGAATCGCCGATGTGGGGTTGCCCATGCCTAGCCCGTTTGTTCGCATGTATACGTTGTTATTAAATTTAAAGTAGTTTTGACGCAACGTCGTTCTGAGTGCGTTAGTTATCTCCACGGCGATTTCTCTGTTTCTTGTTTTTTCTGTCAGTATTTTGAATATGATATCTATTGTTTCCGTTATGGGTATCGATGGGTATAGATTTTTTTATGTCGAATGATACCAGCTTAGTATCCAACGTGATAACTGAGTCTTTTAATTTTTCAATCAATTCCGTTGTACTAGTTATTGTGTACTTATTGGGCAATCCAAGGTTATCCTTTAGTATAGTTTTTAAATATTTAGATAGTTTGTAGCTTGGGGCCGATTTGTGGTGTATGATTGGTCTCATAGGTGTGCCTGATTTGTGGAGTTTAGGTAGTGCATTCATCGGAGGAGCTGATGGATTCTTAGTTGTCAAAGTATGTATTTGGTTCGCCTTTATTATTTTTGTAGATTTCTTTATAGTCTCTTTTATTGCAGCTTGGTATTCCGCAGTAGGATCCTTTACTAATTTCTTACAATTGGTTTCTTTGATAAGTTGTTTCGTTTTTTGTATGTACTCCTCTCTATTCATTAGTACAGTTGTGTTTCCTTTGTCAGCTTTGATCGTGATTACGTTGTTATTTTTTAGTTTCTCTTTGAGACCTTTGATTATATTATTTTCGTTGCTCTGTTTTTTGTTTCTTTTGGCTTTGATTTCCTTTACAATTAACTGTTTGCACATGTGTCTAGTGTGTTCCTGTTCCTCTTTCGGCAGCATAGATATGGCTATCTCCGCATCTACAATTAATTGTCTGCTCGATTTCCTTTTTCTTATTATAATTCTGGATATTATGTTTGAGTCAATTTTCGCGCTTCTTCTTTGCTGATGGGAACTTCTGTAAGATTTACGAACCTGGCATGGAATTTAGGTCTCTCTATCTGTTGTTTGTTCTTTCCTTTTTGATTCGTTTGTAACTTTACGAGCTTTCCTTTCAATTTGTTGTACTTCTTCTCCATGTCTTTCCTTATGCGCGTTTTTATTTGATCAAAGAGTTCCATTAAGCAGTCGATTGGTATGAGCTCCGCTAACTCTAAATGAATTGATAGCAACTCTGCGTTTGTTTGTTCCTTTTTGGCGTAAAGACTCTTCAATTCGTACGTTAAGTATATTCTCTCTGCCATCTTAATCGTTTTCCTGCATGCCTCTGTATTCGATCTTAGCTTCATTTGGGCAAACTTTGGAGTGACATTCAGTGCGAGATAATTAATCATCGACGAAAATCACATTACCTAAGATAAATGAACATAAATTAAGGACAAAAACTCGAACCATACAGAACGAAAAATGACACTGAAGATGGCACAATGCCGAAACCGGTTTGTCTGCAAACCAATCTTGACAAGGGATGACGGAAATTCGTTCCAAAATAAATGATCGTATACTTTGTATTCGACAAAATTAAAAATTAAAAAAAAAAATATGAGACATGATAAAAACTTATTAACTTGGTACCAACTTTGGATACAATAAACAACTGTATTCGTCTGATTGTCTCGTAGTTTATTTTTGTTAAGATTTCTACCGGATATGGGGCGTACATATGTGCTTTTTTAAGAAGTTTTACTTCTATCACGTGTACAGTGTTGCACTCGTGGTATTAAACTAATGCTTTTTTCTCAAGTAGTTTTGCTCAGTCGCAATTTATATATTTTGTGTAAGTAGTAGCGGCGCACTAGGTGATCTAAATGCATTCATACATACATATTTATGTACAACTGTAGGTAATTTGTATGCGTCTTCGCAGGTAGGTTAAAGGCGGGTAATAAACCCTTTTAGCATAACTAGTTAAATACTGTGTACATACCTACAATTAAAATAGTTAAAAATATTACAATTTCGGCATGTGACTGGAAAAAAAGCTCTAAAATACACACAAACTTGTCATATCGCGGGAAATCCCCCGATTTCCAGGGAATTTCAGTTTAAGTGGCAATCGGGGAATGGCCAACTTTTATTCAGGGAACTGGGTATGTTATTTTTATATCTTAAAGCAACCAAATTAGACGAATAAGTTAATTTTAAACCACTGGTCGCTATTTGAGGCGACTTTTTTCAGTTTGAATCGCACAACAAGAGTTATCTCCATGTGAATATCTCCACAACAAGAGTTTTCCCAGATATAAGCTATATACCAGATGAAAGCTAAGGTTTTGGGCTAGATTTGTGGAAACTTAGAATAAAATCGACTGACCAGTTTTTGAGAAAATGCCCGAAATGTATATTTTCAGCAGCCCGATTTTTAGTTTTCAGGCGATAACATTATGACATATTTATATTTCATAAACACAAAAGACAGCGTTAGTAGACCCTTCTACTGATATCCACGTCAATGACATGGACTGAGTAGTGCGGCCTATTGTATTGGCCTATAGAATAACACTAAATATGTTGGGTGTACCCACATGCAAAAGCAAAAAAAACGTTTATTGTTTCGCAACACTTTAGCCTAGTTTTTAAGAATCCGGTTAAACGTTTATGAAGCTTGAATACATTTTCTGGACACACTCTGCAAGACCTTTCCAACGATATCTCAACCATGTCGATTGGACGTCTGGATAAAAACTTCCAAATCTCGTGTATATATAAGCATCATTTCAGCATGCTACTGTGGCTGCTTTCGTCTCTCGCGCGTACTGCCGTGCGCTGTGATTATTACTGAACAATGGAAAAAGTGGTTTTCGCCTCCTGAGACGAATATCGTTAGATTAAAAACTTTTTCATCTTCTCCTAATAATTATCTGGGACCTTTATTTATTTTTCGTTTCTCGGGACGATTATTTTACGATGGAAATCCTTTTCGTCTTCTGATGATAATTATATGGGACTTTTGATTTGTTTCGTCTATTGGGACGTTTATTTCAAGACGGAAATAATTTACGTCTTATCATAATAATTATATGGGACTTTTATTTTTTTCGTCTCTCGGGACGTTTATTTCTCTTAATAATTACAAA